CCATAGGGGCGGCCGCGGGCCAGCGAGGGCGGCGGCGCGATGCCCGCGCGGGGCCGCCTCGGGGGGCGCTCGCGGCGCCGCCGCGGGCGGCCCACCGAGCACTGGAGGTCCCAAGACGGCGCGGTGGGGTCTCAACGAGGCGACGCCTGCCTCGGGAGCCGACGGGTCTTCCACCGCCAACTGCGCAGGCGCCCCCGACGGCTTGGCCCACGATCCCAGGAGCGGGCACTGCTTCATGTCAGAGAGCTGGGTGCCCAAACCCACCGTGCGGTGACCTCGAAATCCCAGGAGACCGCACCGCATGGTCCGTCTCCGCACGGTTTGTGAACCCAAGCCCAGAGTGGGAAGGAAGACAGCTGTCCAAACCACGAAGTTCTTCAGGAAGGTGGCTGTCAAGGCCCACAGTGGGCGTGGCGTAGTCCCCTCCCTAGTGTCAGACGTGCAACGCACCCAAGCAGCATTGACGAGTGATGTAGCCGCTGTCAACGCGATGAGGGCGAGGTGTACTGCCAGCATTGCTGCCCACAAGTTCGAGAGATCATTGGTACCTCTGCCTTGGGCCAGCAAGCAATCGGGACTGCTCGACCCACCTCGTCTGGATGCCACTTCTGGTGGGAAAATGGCGGGGTTGATCATCTCTGCGAGCCTCCACGATGCGCCCACGACCTCGCTCGCAGTGTCTTCGGCGCCGTCGCCCCGAAGGCCATCTCTCTTTGCACCACGCTGCCGACCCAGGCCTTGCCGGAGTAGCTGCTGCGCAATGCCGTCACGTACACGCTGAGCGGGGACGCAAAGTGCGGGACCACCCAGCGCCGACGATGGCCAGCGCGAGGCTCGCACCGGAGAGGACCGCGCAGGGAGCGCCCCAGCCCAGGCGCACAACTGCGGCACCCGGCGCTGTCACGTTGGCAGCCATTGCTGCACGTTGCCGGGCTCCCACTCGGAATCTCAGGAGACCTCGCCGCATGGTCCGTCTCCGCACAGTTTGGGACCCTGGAGGCCCCAGTCGCCAGAGACATCCTTGGAGAACGACCCGAGTCCCAAAACGGTGCGGTCACCCGAATCCCCACTGCATCACCACACGGTGTGATCGCCGCAAGGTTTGGAGGCACCCGCCTTCTGGAGACTCGAGAATTCGAGCTGGAGAGGCTTTTCGCCTTTGATCGGCCTCCGGGTGGGCGTCGACGGGGGGCCGGCGCCACTTAGGGCGGAGTTGCCTCCCCCGCCCTGCGGACATGTCGAGCGTAAGCGGTGTGCCAAGCAACCGAGATCAACGCACATCCCCGCCACCGGCTAACACGCCATAACTTGAGGCACCCCGCGGGTGCCCTCGCCACGGAAACCTTCCCTCCCTGCTTAACCCTCCCCCTGCGCTCCGTGCCGCCCCTCCTCCCTGCCCGGGGCCAATCGCGGCCCAAATCCCCAATCCCGATTGAGGTTTCGCCCTGCGTCTTGCTTTGACGGTCTCAGCCGAGAAACGGCCTCCCGAGGCCGAAGACGCAAAGAAAACCAAAGGACGCCGCGATGATTTGCGACGCCCAGATCCGCGGGACCCTCGACCCTTGAAGTCGGAATAGTGGGGTCGGGGCAGGTGGGGCAGCGAGGAAAGGTGCAGTACAGTAGTACTTGCAATAGTGCGCGCCTGGATGCAACAGTTGCGCGTGGACGCAGGTGTGTGTGTGTGTGTGCGCACATGCAAGGCTTGTTGCCCCATGCAATAGTTCGCTACCCCCGCAACATCTGCGCACGATAAAACGCGGTTGCATACCACGAGTGCTCTTGTGCATCTCTCACCTAACGGCCTCATGTGCGCCTGCCCTGCTACACTAGCCTGGAGATCCGCGCACCCTGAGGTGTCCGCGAATCGGGCCCTCCGACGGTGCTCCGGTGGTCATGGACCATGCTCGGAGGAGAGTATGTTTTATTCGCGGCGATAACAGGCGTTATGGAGGGGGGGCGGGGGAGGAAGCGTAACGTAGCGCACTCCCCCCTGCCGTGTGGGACCAGCACCACAGACTGTGGCGCCAGATGCGTTGCGGCGGAACCCCGGGGCGCAGTGGAGGCGGGGGGGAGCGTTACAATCAACCCGTATGATAAGGATGTGCGGTAAGGATGCAAGGGCCCTGGAGGGCCACGTTAGCGTTTTTCGAGCGAGGTTGGCCAGCGAGAGTCGCTAAGAATGGGCCGAAGGGGCATGGATGCAAGGGTACCCTTGGGAAGGCTGCCCATCCTTACTAACTACGGGTTGACTCTACGTTATGGGGGTGGAGGGGGGGGGGCATGAGGGGCATGCCGCGCGTTATGGCCCCCAGGGGGTATTATACGTAGCACCCCGCAATTGCGGATAAGAGTGAGGGGGCGGGCGCGGGCGACGCGGGCGTCGAGCCGGCGGACCTCGTGGCCCTCACCGTCCCTGTCGATGGCGCCCTCCTCCTGCTCCTCCTCCTCCTGCCCCTCCTCCTCCTCCTCCTCCTCCTCCTCCTCCTCCTCCTCCTCCTCCTCCTGCTCCTCCTCCTCACGTAATTGTGGGCGCCTTGAGGCAGCTTCGCCTGAATCCAGGCTTTTGGCACAGATGCCGAATTGCAGCAGGCAGCTGCATTATAATAAACGTATTCAGACACAGCCCGCCGCAAGCGCCGATGTGCTGTTGTAGAGTCAACGTGGGCCGGATCGGGGGAATGGCACGAGGGCGCTCTCACAAAACAATGCGAGCAAGCCCGCCGCAGTCGCCGATTTGCGTGCTCTGACAAGTTCAGCGCGGGGGGGATCGCTGGTGGGCCACCAGGAACGAATGCAAAAACAGCCCGCCGCAAGCGCCGAAGTTTTGGCTCTTTCAGTGAACGTAGTTTGGGTCGCGGGTGGGTCCGCGGGCTCTCCACCTCCACCTGGAAGGAATTCAAAAACAGCCCGCCGCAGGCGCCGAAAATTTTGATTCGTACACTGAACGCTGTTTGGGTCGCGGGTGGGTCACAGGTTCTCCACCTGGAACGTCTGCAAAAGAAACCCGCCGCAGGCGCCGAAAATTTTGGGTGGGTCGCGGGGTGGGTCGTGGGTGGGTCGCGGGTGGGTCGCGGGGTGGGTCGCGGGTGGGTCGCGGGTGGGTCGCCGGTGGGTCGCGGGTGGGTCGCCAGGGGGGTCTCGGGGTGGGTTGCGGGCGGGTCGCGGAGTGGGTCGCGGGTGGGTCGCGGGGCGGGTCGCGGGTGGGCAGGACGACGACAACAAACAGCAAACAGCAAGCAACAAACAACAAACAACAAACAACAAACAACAAACAACAAACAACAAACAACAAACAACAAACAACAAACAACAAACAACAAACAACAAA